TATCATGAGTCAATTGAATCTAGACCACCATGGAAAACCTGTAAACACTGGACGGGCGTCTGGTCCTAGCGTGGAACTTCTCAGCATTGCGCATCCATCATCTCTCCGCATGGGATTCGAACGCAGGACATTTCGGTGTTGCGTGCTAATACTTAACCTCTAGACCACTGAGCAGGCCGGTATTCAACGGTGTTAATGTCTAACCTCAACCAATCCATGAAGTTGCGCGACCATCTTCCATTGTACTGAAGTAGACACCTGTTTCTACCCGACACGAATTAGCTCCACTGGTCACGGCTTGTCATGATCACAATCAAAATCTTAACAATCTCCATAACCCCTATACTGATAATTACCATGTGCTCACTAGTGATTAGCTTCTTGAGAAAACTCTCGGAGTTCTGGTGAGAAGCCGTGTCCAGTGAAGCTAACTTAACAATCTCCATAACCATATACTGGTAAGCACCACAATCCTGCCATATTATTTGGTATGGTTGTGTTAATCTAGTATGGCCACTTGAGCTGATGCATATATCTATTACATTCCATATTACATATGACTGACTGACTGAACAGTAGAAGAAATTGAACTTTAAAAGTAAATTTAAGAACTAAAAAAATCACATTGATGTACTTCTACACTTAATAGTTAAGAATTGTCTTTTTTTGATAAAGAAATTGAATTGTTTTCTTATCCAAGCGTATCTCTACTATAATCTATTCATATATATTTGTAATATATATTAAATAATGATCTGTTTAAAAGTAAGATATCATAAAAGAAATTACACGTATGTATAAATAAGGTTAAATTGAACAGTAAATAGCAATGGAATCTATGGTATGTGTTTAATTTTATTTACAATTCTTCAACTAGTTGTCGATATTTAAACTAAAGGTCAACCCTGGTGGTTAATCCTTCAAATTTCAGCTTATTATTTGTTAAAATACTATGTTACAATATCAATCCAAATGTTTAAGATAGTTAGTTGAAAACTCTACATTGAAGCTTCATATTACTTGACACTCGTTAGCAAGATGAATCAGCAAATTTAGGGTAATCGATACCTTAGTGAGCATTAAATAATGATAAGTGTCAAGTCTGTCTATTTTTGAGAGCCGACAGAATTCTGTCTATAGCGGTGTAGTGTGACAACGAGGCAATTTAACTCTGCATCGCGTTACTACATTGAGACATTACGTAGTTAAATCTAATGAGGACCAAAAGACTAGACAAACACGATATCGACCATTGCTCATTGATTAATGAACTGTGTGTTTTTAACTATAATTATTTGTAATGGTTTGTAATCTGTAGTTGTTAATAATCAAGAACAAAGTTGATTTAAAATTCCACTAAATGTCTTAGGATGAAATGAAAACACAGATTCATGAATAAATAATCATAATTTTTAATAAATATACTTACCACTATTGGGTTATGAAGATTGTTATATTTTCGATTGAGATCATGAACTGATTGATGTTAGGCCACCATTGAAAAAATGGATGCATTAGACGGCCGTTTCTTCCTATTGTGGGACTCCTCAGCAATGTTCATCCATGACTCGCTCGCAGGATTCGAACCCACTGAATTCACTGTCATGGATTGGTTGAAGTCAGGCAAAAACACCGTTGGATACCGGCCTGCTCAGTGGTCTAGAGGTTAAGTATTAGCACGCAACACCGAAATGTCCTGCGTTCGAATCCCATGCGGAGAGATGATGGATGCGCAATGCTGAGAAGTTCCACGCTAGGACCAGACGCCCGTCCAGTGTTTACAGGTTTTCCATGGTGGTCTAGATTCAATTGACTCATGATACCAACTATTAAATTACCATAATATCCACAAAAACCCCTTTCTGATACTTAAATTATCTCAAGGACTTTCGGAAACCAGACTATCTAAATCACTGATGCAAAGTAATACATATCATTCCGAAATTAAACACTAATAATGATATTAATAATCGTTTACTCAGTAGTGACTAAATTCGAGAATCGTTTGCTAAAATCCCGGTAAGTTCTCACTACTTCTTATCAGTATGTGGATGTTGTGCAATGTTGCAAATACACTGGCTTTGAAATTGTGGGTGGTTGTATTCGGATTCAGTGAATTAGTGAATGTCTTATTAACACCGATAACTGAATGTTGTGTGTTCGAACTGAAGGATGACTTGGAAGAGAATGATGTGGAAACTACTGAATTGCTACTGTTGTTGTGATTCATCTAGATGATGTCACTCACTCCGTCATATAGATTCTATTTATATTATACACTTATTTGTAGTTTCAAACTGTGATCTTCTATGTTATCGATATCATGGATTGTCTGAATAATTGTGTTGTTGATATTCAGATTGAATTTTGTGTAATCTTTGTAGGTGTATGTATATGTTGAGTGTATTTTATCTGTATAATCAATTTGTCATAGATTGTTTTGGAATAGATGGATTGTGGTAGAATCGGTGTACTAATGTTGTGTGTAGACTCGAACTGGTGTATAAATGTGTCAGATTCAACGTAACACTTAACTTACTGACTGACTGACTGACTGAATGTTTTGTTTTGTTTTGTTTTGTTTTTGACTCATAATCTGGTAATTGTCATTTGACAATTTGATGCAAATATGGATTCAATAGTTGAGTAGATAAATTGTTGGTAGTTTTATAAGTCAATATGATTGATTTTGCATTTCAGTGTGAAAATGAATGTTGTAATGAAGATGAATGGAGTTGATGATTCTGAGTTAGAAATAAAAATTCACTGAGTGAATTCCACTGCTCGGTAAAATCTGTGTTGAAGGAGTATGATGTATTGCTGTTTCACACATAATATATCCATATTTATTCTTTTTATCATTAACATGTAATTCCAGTAATCTGCAATTATATAAATATTGCAAAACAGAGAGCAATTTATAAGAACTGTGGAAATTACTATGACAGTTTTGATATTGTATGTATGCTAAGTTATTCTATAATATACTGAATTGGTTAGATGTTACTTAACTCATTAGGAACGGGAAAAGTATAAACTATCTGAACAAAAAATAGTTTAATGAGTTCACTCAGTGATAACAATAATTAGACATTTGACTTCCCTATAATTTCAGTAGTAGAATTAGATAGATTAAAATTTCTAAGAACATTTAAGGTAGTTTTAGAGATGAGGTAAATGTAGATGCAACAAACAATTGATGCTAATGATTATATTCGACATCCTGATTACGGCAGACCATTTCAGATTTTGAAAAACTTGCTAAAAACTAATTCATATAGTGAAAAGATTTAAAATGAGATTGTTCCATTGATCAATAAAGTGTTACGGATGCTATAACTGGGTGTTTTAGAATGAGATTTCATTAGTTAATGTAAATGATGTTTTAATAAGTATTTGTAAGAAAAATATTAAATTTCGTTCGAGTCTTCATCTATATAAAGAATGGAATTCTAGCTTATTACAAGTGGATTTATAGTTTAAGGTGCAATTATCTCCAAGATGACAAAGTGTGAATCGCTACTGAACGGACTCTAATTAAAGTTTACCCTTTTTGTCAACGCTTCCAAGAATGGAAGTGCAGTATTCTAGGAGTCTTTGAACACAATTTGCATACAAAAAAACATAAATCATTTTATTTAGGGTATGAAGTGTGCAATCCAGAACTCGTTGGGAATCGGAAGTCTGTTTGAAGACTTGTTCAGAGAATAATAATATTATTATTTTCTTTAGTGTTTTTTTAAAATGAAGATTTAATTTAATTTGAAGATCGGGTTCACCACATGGATTGATTTAGTATGAAGAACCATTCAAGAACCACAGTACATTTGGAAAGCATTGAATCTACATCTGAAACTCAACTAATGTTGAACCATTTACGATCTCATATAGGTCCAAAATAATATTCACATTGCCGTTGTTACATCAAGATAAAGCCCAGTAATTGTCATCTTTGATTTTATTTCTTAATAAATATCTTTATGAAAATATTTGTGAAGTTTATACGGATAACTGTGAAGTAACATTAAGTCAATTATATTCAAAGAATACTAGTCATTTTGTTAATGACATTAATTTAGGATCGTGTTATACCCTAATATCGTTAAAGTATAATACGTAATCTACTTGATTTTGGCTCATCAACTGAACAAATCATACAAGAACCTTATGTCCTGAGTTTTATCATTTATCGGATTGTCCAATGAAACATGAACTTTGTTATTATTTACAAGTGATATAACTCTGTAAGAAAGATATCCTATAAATTATGTTTAGAAATACTGTAATAACATACCACAAATTCATTGAATAAACATCTTTATACTGAACATTTCTTCTAAGTAATAAAATCAACTCTATTTTATAACATCTAACTATAGTGACTATTCAAGTTAAAGTTAATATCAGAAAGGGGTTTTTGTGGAGATCGTTAATAGTTGAATTCTTGAATCAATCCAAGTTAGATCACCATAGAAAACCTAGAAACACTGGACGGCCGTTTCGTCTTAGTACGGGACTCTTCATCAGTGCGTATTCACGATCCCTCTCGTGAGATTCGAACCCGGGAAATGATTTATCTTTAAATTATAAGATTTTACAACAACTTACTAAAGTACTGAAACACAAAAATAAATGGTACGTTTTCATTATTATTCAAGGTTGAAGTTAAAAGATTGTTGATAAATTTGTACAAAGCTATTGCTGTGTTAGAAAAACCTAATACAATTTTAACCAATCCGAAAAAGAACTAATGAACAAACATTTAGACATTTAATTTTATGCCAATCATTGTTATAAACAGTATCTTAAGTGTTGTTTGACCTTGATAGTCAATTCTGAACAATGACCAGTCATATACTTTCCAAATACCACTCAACTCATTTTTTTTAGCCAATGAGTATTTTCATTTTCAAGTATATAAACAATGTGAGCACACAATGAAAACAACATAGATTGAAGAGAACTAACTACTTTGTTGAATCAAATAAAACAACTTAACAATGACTGGATCCAATTCGCCAAAAACTACCAAAGTATTAAGAAAGGTGTTGATTCCATTAGATAATAGCAATGAGTCGAAGAAAGCATTAGATTGGTATCAAGAAAATATGAAACGTGATGGTGATTTGGTTATTTTCGTTCATGTCCTTGATCCTGTTCAACCATCAGCGTTATCTGCATTGTCATATGAATGTGAATCGATGCCAGCTGGTTCATCATTTCACGTACCAGAAGAAATCATGAAAAGTGCAAGATATCTATGTCAAGAGATGGTACATAAAGCTACTAAATATGGGATCAAATCTGAAGGTCTTATTCAAATTGACAATAAACCTGGTCCAGCATTAGTTAAAACAATAAACGAAAGAAAGATTAATGCAGTTGTAATGTCAAAACGTGGTTCAGGATTTTGGAAGCTTAATTTTACGCCAAATGTTACATCATATATATTGCATCATTCAAATATTCCAGTATCTATAATACCACCATCAAATTGTTAGTAATACATGAATTGCACTACTATTATATGATGATTGAATTGTCTCATCATCTGTAAATATTGGCCATAATAAAGCTTTTCATTTCGCTACAGAAAATGACAAATTTATTGTATTTATTCGTTTATTACTTTACTTATTATATATTTCTGTTAATGAATTACTTACTTTGTATTAAATTATTTTATTTAAAGATAATTCAACTTGTTTTGAATAGATATTTCGAAAAATTCAGTCGGTTCGGTTAAGTTGACTTGTGTGTAAGATGTGAATTCGACAGGACTTAACGATGAATGAAATGTATCATATTTGGTTGAGGTAATCATTAGATCCTTTTGATGGAGTTTTGTTCTCTGAGTTGAATGGTTTGGTCGTAGAGCTTTCATCCTTCTTCTGAACGACAAACTTCAGACGGAAGTTTGTGCTGAGCTACAAATCTTCTCCAACATCTCATCATTAGATCCTATTTATCATTATGTGAAAGTTTAAGTTGACATAAGTAAATGATCTCTAACTGTAATTAAATATTTGAAAGGTATACGTTGTTTAAATCTCCACCATCTTGTATACCTATGAGGAAAGAACTATTATCTGTATACCATTTGAAAGGTAATTTTAACTTAATGAATAGAACTGTTACTATTAAATTAAACAGATAGCAAATGGTTTCTTTCCATAAGGAGACATAATTCAATAATATTACACTAGAATAGGCTACATTGTAAAATCATGTTGATAGGATTAACTTTTCAGAGAACAGCCTTCCACAAAATTTGTCGTTATTGATTTGCACAGTTTACCAAATGAAACAATTGAATGATAGTATTCTCTAGCATTAATGTACAACAATTGAATAATTCGTTTGAACCTATAATATTGTTACTTCAAGATTGGTAAAAATGAAAATGAATTACAGAAATCAGTAATCGTTTAACAAATCAATGTCGGTCAGTCAGTCAGTTAGTCGAAACCAATATAGAGACTAGAAAAGATTCACGTCAACCCAACTTGTCACACCGTGTCGCCATTACGAGATGAAAATAAGAACATAGATAAGTAAAGAAGTCGGTATAAATGTAGCACCAGTAATATAGAGAAAGACTAAGCATTGAGAGTATGATTGAAGAAGGCTGGATAAGAAAATATTCATGAAGAAATAATGAAATTAAAGAGGTGAAAGAAAATAAAGAGTAGATTTATCTGTTTCCAACCACTTATTGTGGCTAGTTCATGAACCTAAGCCATGTAGTCTGGACCTACCAACATGGCTCGGATTAAAAGTCACTGAATTCATGAACGAATACCAGGTTTTAGATTGACCATCCGAAATGTGACCATCGGTCACTAGCTTCTAGTACTTCCATTGAGAAATAGTAATTGATGGTATTTATATATATAAAGTAATTACCTACCAATTCATTTGAGTAGTGATGGAATTGAGTTATGAAATTGAATGAAATTGGGAATTAAAAAATGGATTACAACTCCTTAATGGTTTAAAGGTAAAGGAGTTTGACCTTAAGCTTGTAAATAACTGGTTCGAACAACGAATCACCTACTTTGATTTGAGAAATCGGATAGTATCATTAACACTTAAACTAACAATGTGGATTTAAGTCAATCACATGAATTTATATCAGGTAAATGACTTGATAGACGTGTAGAAAAGAATTATTTCGAATGATGAACTGCTCGTGACAAAACCTTGAGAGCTTCATGTTCGACTTCTGTCCGAATTATGAGTTCCTACTGCTGCATTGTTTCAAACTTCATTAAAATGGTTGTGCAATAATTTTAGACATTCAACTCTTATCCAATTGATGTCACTCAATCAAAAATAAGTTAAAATATGAAGGAAAACATAATTCCCATCATGTACTCAGAAAGTTCATATTCTCAGCCTGTCAGAAAATATTAATCATAAATTACCATTATACAACCTACAACGAACATTCTTAATGCCTACAAGTAACATTATGAGGAAAATCTCATCTTCTTCTACTTAGAACTTGCTAGTAAAATGGTTTTCGGATTAAGATTGAAGAAGAAACTAGAAGTTAATACTTGAATCTTGATGCATTAGAGTTTGACAAAATCATCTGTCTACATGTTTCTACCAAAGAACTGACGATCATATGTATACACTCATCAAGTATTTTCTGATATGATCTGATGTGTGATTTCATTTTCGACTACTATGCATTTCACTCAATTGATTCACTTAGTCTTAAGTCAGAAAATCTATGTGTGGGAAGGTGTGGTGAACTTAGATTAATATTAGATAACTATTTGTTGGAATTCACAACCTCATATAATGAGTTGATGCATAGTTTCAATATATGATGTTTCATATTCATCATATCGGAAGTTTTATCGTTTCATTTCTAATTTGATCACTTTCACATACTATTTCATGTTGACACCCACTCATACACTGACCAGTCATCTGTGCTTGATTCATTGCTTTAAATAAATTGTGTGTTGATGGGTGTAACTACAAACAACAATGTTTAATTTGTGAGAGGTAGATACTAGAAAAATCCTGAATTCAGTTTTCGTGTTATTTGGCATTCATCAATAATGCTCATTTGTAATATTGAGAAAACTGTTGCCTACTAATGAATCTTATCGTTAGTCATTCAGCTTCACTACTTGTTATGATAAAGATAATTTATTTAACTTCACTACTTAGATATAAGAAACACGATTGTTTGGATATGTGTTACATCATGGACTGACAATCATGACGAACAGTGAGTACTTGATAGTCATTTCAGTCTACTACAAGATTTTGAAATACAGTAAATCCATAACCTAATCAAGGATTGGTCATAGGAACTACAGAATTGACGTTAAATGCATTACTCTAACTCCTGTAAACTTTCAGTGATGCTTTGAACAATAAACAAATAGATGGAAAAGTGCTAAAATGTGAACATAATTTGATGGGAATCAGGTTAATGTTTAACAAGTTCTATAAAATAAGTGTCTATATGTCTTGTTTGTGGGTTTTTCTTACTAGATAGACTATGTATTTAGTTGCACAACTGATCTCTTATTCATCAGTTGTCAATGGATCTATCTTATTATATAAATTCAAAGATAACTAAGATATCTAATTATATAACTATTAAATGTAGATTAGTTTGGTGAATTCACTCGATATTACGACATTTATCAAAGTATATAATAATCATATGGCTAATAGTATACTATTTTAATGAAATATCAAATATAAACAATTTTCACTTGGTCTTGTCTACTTATATCTTCTCCATTGTACAAGTGGCGGCCATCACGACTTAGTAGTTAAGTGGTTAACATGATGGCGTTCGAAGCGGACGGTACTGAGTTCGAGTCCAAGAGTGAACATCGACTCTTAGATGCACATACATTCAGCTGACAAGTCTCAAATATTTTGAAATGCATCTCCCGGCTTCTACTGCTAACCACTATCCATTTTGCTCATAAACAATTTTGTTCTTTATATAAAGTGTATAATACTACTAACAAATGTCATGGAAATATATCGATATACAATCGAAATTTTTTTATTGAATTTTAAGTTAAATGGTAAAATTAAAAAGAAGTATGATTCTTTATTTATTCATGTTGTACTTTTAACACGTAAATTAATACGTGTGACATATGTGTAATGAAATTGTATTCATATTGTATATTTCCTTTCATTGAGTTTAAATAAAATAATCACCATACAAATTTACATCTAGTTTGTTGTCATATAAAAAAATGGTAAATCATTGGAGATCCATATGGAATTTGAATCATCTGAATATAATGAAAGAATAAAATATCCAGAAATTAAATAATTATGGTTATTAAATTATGTTCTCAATAGGATCTTTAGGTTCTAGGTTTAGTTGAGTGGGAAATTGGGGAGGATTTTCAAAGTACAACAGTAGTATTATCAAACACTCTGCTGTCTTTAACAATTTAAAAATTTCAACAGTTGAGATCATGGGTCAATTGAAGCTAGATCACCATGAAAAACCTGGAAGCACTGGACGGTCGTTTTGTCACATTGTGGGACTCCTCAGCAGTGCGCATCCACAAATCCGCCTCGCAGAATTCGAACCCAGGACCTATCAGTCTCGCACCAGGACGAAACGGCCGTCCAGTGCTTTCAGGTTTTCCATGGTGGTCTAGCTTCAATTGACTCATGGTCTTAACTGTTGAAATTACTACAATCTCCACAAAACCTCTTCTGATACTAATTTAATAATTCTCAATACATTTAATGCTGGTTAGTTTATTTATAGCTGTTAATGAGATTTCCATAGATTCGATTATGAACTGATTTTAGACGAACATTGAAAACCTAAAAGACTGGATAATTGTTTTATCATAGTATAGGACTCCTAAATGTTGGGAGTACATGACCCCGTATCCGGGAATCAAACCCAGAACTTTCAGTCTCACGAGAGACTCTAAGTTATTCAGATTAGTGGCTACATTGTAACTTGATTGATAGGATTCTATCAACAATTGGCAGGGACCCACCTCAGACAATGGTTGCTCAAAATCATGAAACTATTGAAGTTAAATATTAACACTATTGGGCGAAGGCTCAGTGGTCTAGAGGTTAAGCGTTTGCACGCGAAACCGAAGGTCCTGAGTTCGTGCCTCACATACGAGATCACGGATGCGCACTGCTGAGGAGTCCCATACTAGGACGGAACAACTCTTTAGTGCTTTCAGATTTTCAATGATAGTTTAGCATAGACCGACTCATGAATTCAATTATTGAAAATAATTATGCATATATAATAACTTTTGTTTCCAAATAAATTATTCTCATTACCCAGGAATATGTACATATAATTTGAAATTGAAATTACAGTGCCTTGATCAAATATTTCACCAAAGATTGTCAGTTTTTAAAATGACGTTTTGATATTTTAATGACTTGTCATTTGTTTTGAATATCCTACAATAAAAAATAATTTATTCTTAAAGAATTAATTTATGTTCACAATTTTAAT